GGAGCTGTACAGGGAGATGCGCTCCCCCGAGCGAGCAGTGCAGCCGGACGCCATCACCTTCAACACGCTCATGTTCGCCGCCGCCCAGGCGAAGCTTCCTGGGAAGGTGCTGGAGGTGTACGGCATGATGGTGGCGGACGGCGTGCCGCCCAACCAGATCACGTTCGGGATTCTGCTCGAGGCCGTGGGCAGCGGCGGACGGCTGACCGCCGCCCTGCAGGTGTGTGTGTGTGTGTGTGCATCCCAGAAGGTGGTAGGGAGGGAGGGATGGAGGGAAGGAGGAAGAGGAAGAGCACCTCCAAAGAAGAAGCATTGCAGAGGGGCGTGGGGAGGTATGGATGGGAATTCATTCAGGTTGCGTTGAGAGGCAGGGATGGAGAACTGAAGAAGGGAGTGAAGGGTGGATGGAAATGCTGGAAACCCTACTCAACCCCTCCCCATACTCATCGGCTGCTCTCTGCCCTGACCCCTCTGTGCGCAGGTGTTCAACGAGATGCGGGCGGCAGGCATCCCCCCCACCACCTCCACTTTCAACTACCTCATTGATGCCTGCGCCACCGCTCCCCGCCCTGACGTGAGTGCTCACACACCGTTCCCCACCCCTCAACGCTCTGTTATCGCTCCTTGAGAACCTTTCCCCACCCCATAACGCTCCCCCCCCAACCACCTCCCCCTTCAACCAACTCACTGACGCCTGCGCCACGGCTCCCACGCCTGCCCTGCCTCAAAACTGACCTCAAGCCTGATGTCGAACCTGACCTCACACCTGATCTCCAACCTGACGTAAAACCTGATCTCCAACCTGACGTCAAACCTGATCTCCAACCTGACGTCAAACCTGATCTCCAACCTGATGCCTCAAACAGCATTCCTCCCCACCACCTCCACCTGCATCATCTCGTTCATGCTTGCACCACCACGCCCATGCTTAATGCGAGTTAAACCACCCAATTGCCCGCACCTCTGATCTGATAACCTCCCTGCACCGGTGCTAACCCCCCTGCACCCGAACCCCTTGCCTCTGCACCGTCCCTGTGCTCCTGCAGGCGGTGAAGGCCTGGAGCCTCTTCTCCGAGATGGAAGCTGCTGAGAACGTTCGTCCCAACGCAGAAACGTTCAACCTCCTCATCACCGCCTGCACCAAGGTGGGCAACAGCTTTGAGTTCCAGGTTGAATGTCTCGGAATTAAGGTTTTCGGTTTAGGGTTTAGAGTCTTGAGGATCGCTGTTTTGGTGCTGTGATCCCACTCCCTGTCCACCTGTGTGTGTCTCTGTGTGTATCGCTGCGTGTGTCTCCGATGCGCCGCGGCAGGCGGGCGACCACGACATGACGAGGGAGAGGGGGTACACGAGAACCATCACCACCCCTACCTTCAACAAGCTCATCCACTCCGCTCATCTCTCCCTGCCTCTGTCTCTGTCTCTCTGTGCGATCTGTGTCTGTCCCTGTCTGTGTGACTCTCTGTCTGTCTGTGGTGTATCTGTGCAGGCGGGCGACCACGAGGGGGCACTGAAGGCATTCGGCATGATGAGGGAGAGGGGGTACACGCGAGCCATCACCACGTCCACCTTTAACAAGCTGCCTCTGCGATGTGTGCCTCTCTGTCTGTCTGTGGTGTGTCTGTGCAGGCGGGCGACCACGAGGGGGCACTGAAGGCATTCGGAATGATGAGGGAGAGGGGGTACACGCGAGCCATCACCACGTCCACCTTCAACAAGCTGCCTCTGCGATGTGTGCCTCTCTGTCTGTCTGTGGTGTGTCTGTTCAGGCGGGTGACCACGAGGGGGCCCTGAGAGCATTCGGCATGATGCGGGAGAGGGGGTACACGAGGGCCATCACCACGTCCACCTTCAACAAGCTCATCCACTCCGCTGCTGCCGCCCCCTCTGCCTCCACCGAAACCGCCTTCCAGGTACGCCCTCCCCTATTGCGTGCCTTCTAGGTATGCTTCGCACTCAGGTACGCCCTCCCCTGTATGCCTTGCTTCCAGGTACGCCCTCCCCTGTACGCCTTGCTTCCAGGTACGCCCTCCCTTGTACGCCTTGCTTCCAGGTACGCCCTCCCTTGTACGCCTTGCTTCCAGGTACGCCCTCCCTTGTACGCCTTGCTTCCAGGTACGCCCTCCCCTGTACGCCTTGCTTCCAGGTACGCCCTCCCTTGTACGCCTTGCTTCCAGGTACGCCCTCCCTTGTACGCCTTGCTTCCAGGTACGCCCTCCCTTGTACGCCTTGCTTCCAGGTACGCCCTCCCTTGTACGCCTTGCTTCCAGGTACGCCCTCCCTTGTACGCCTTGCTTCCAGGTACGCCCTCCCTTGTACGCCTTGCTTCCAGGTACGACCTCCACTTTACGCCCTCAACTCCCACTCCTCACCCTCTCACCCATCCTCCTACCCGTCCTATCCCTCTCCCCCTTGCCCCTTTTCCATTTCTCCCTGCCCTCCCTCACAGCTATACAGCCAGATGCGGGCAGAGGGCCACAGGCCAGACGTGGTAACCCTGGGAACGCTCATCACAGCATGTGGCAAGGACGGGGACGCAGCACGCGCCATGGCAGTGAGGCAGGAGCTAGAGGCCGAGGGCGTGCCGCCCAACGCTGCCGTCTTCCACGCGCTCATGGCCGTGCAGGGCCGCGCTGGCTTGTGGCCGGCGGCGCTCGGCACGTTCCGGGAGATGCAGGGACGGGCGGCGGAGTGGGAGCAGAAGGGGAGCGGCACCACGGTTATTGGTGGCCCCAGAGAGGTGAGCATGGAGAGCTTGTATGGCCTTGCTGGGAAAGGTGAGGGTATCTGAAGCATGGGATATTTTTCTCAAGCTAATCAAGCTGTTTTGAAAGACCAGCATAATGCCCACGCATAAATCCCTGTCTCTACCATGTCTCCTCCCCTCAGTCCCCCTGTCCTCCAACCCCTCTCCTCGCCACCTCTCTCGCCGGTCGGTCCTTGCATGGCTTGGCTTCACCAATTGGATCCGCCCCTCATTCCCTCCCCCTCCCCCCTGCCCGTAGCCTTGCTCGTCTTACCCCCGTCACAACCAGAACCCCCTGGCACCAACCCTCCTGGCGTACACAGTGCTGTTTAACGCGTGCTCCGGCCCCGAGGGGGCAGAACAGATGGGTCCGCCCCTCATTCTCTCAACCCTCCCACATGCCTGTGGCCTCGCCCGTCTCACCCCTACCCCTGCCCCGTGCAGAACCCCCTGACACCAACCCTCCCGGCGTACACGGTGCTGTTCGACGCGTGCTTTGGTCCCGAGGGGGCAGATGCAGCGATCAAGGGCCTCGTGGAGAAGGGGCACCAGCTCGCCCTCACACCGGGTGAGTTCTGAGTCTCCATGCTTACAAGCTCGCTTCCTTTCCCCTTCTCCTTCTTGTTGTCAAGCTTATACTCTTCCTTTCAACCGGCCCCATCCAGTCCCTCCCTCCCATGTTCTCGCCCCTCACCTAAGCTTCTCTCGCCCCTCACCTAAGCTTCTCTTTTACAACCTCGCCAGTCTGCCACTCCCCCACCCTGTCTCCTCCTTCCCCCTCGCCCTTACTCCTGCCAGCCCTGGCAGCAGCGGTGGAGGTGTACAGAGAGGCAGCATAGGCGGGCACCTTCGCGTACTGCGCGTTCTCTCACCTCATCTTAGCTGCTCCTCTTCGCGCTTACCTGTCTGCCACTCTCTCCCTCTTCCCCCCTTTTCCTCGCCAGCCCTGCTAGCAGCGGTGGAGGTGTACAGAGAGGCAGCAGAGGCGGGCACCTTTTCGCACTACGCCCTCTCTGATGCCTACAGGTCAGCACCTTCTGCTCTCTGCATACTCACCCACCCATCTGTATCGCGCCGTTTTAACGACATCTCATTCCGTCATACTCCACTGCAAGCACCGCTGCCGCCTCCCTCCCTTACCTCCCCCTCCTAAGCTTGCTCCCCTCCTTCCTGCTCCACGGCCCTCCGTCATCCCTGCGCCCGCTTCATTTCCCCCCTGCTCCACACACTCCCCCGTACACGGCGTCACATGTGTGATGTGCGCAGCTCCACACCCCCCGTGGCCTGCTGCACCTCGCCCCTGTTCCCCTCCCTCACCATGTCCCACGTATTTTTGAGTCGATGAAACAGGTCGCCTTGACTAAACAATCTGCTTTTATCCTACATGATTTTCCCACCCTGCATGGCCTCACAGGTGTGATGTGCGCAGTTCTACACGTCCGGTGGCCACCGTGGCTCTTCTCTCCCTCCTCATGCACCTCGCCTCTCCTGCCTCTGCTCATGCCGGTGCTGCTCCTGCAACTTCCCAAGATAGTGCTTCCGCTACTGCTGCTCCTGCACCTGCCGCCGCTGCTGCCACTGCAGGAGCCTCAGCTGATGACTCGTTAGTGCGCGACTTGGCTATCGTTACAGGAATGTCGCGGGCGAAGGTGAGCTGATGTCCACACCATCAAGCGTATATCACAATGATCCAAGTTTCACTTCTACATTTGCAGCATCTCACCCTCCTATGGTACACTACACACCATGTGAACATCCACCATCAATCATTCTTCCCTATGCCGTGTCTCTCATCTCATCTCATCCCTGTTCCCACATGCAGAACCAGCCGATAGGAGAGGCGCCGAGGGGCAGGTTTCCGAAGCTGTTTGTGAGTGTGGATCGGACGCTGCAGGCGGTGGGGCTCAAGGGCAAGAGCATGCGCGCGCTCACCATGCAAGCGCTGTCTGTGGACGGCCAACAGCTCGCGCAATGGCTCAAGAATGATGCCGCGGCTGTGTTTCCCGAGTTGAGGAAGTAGAAGTGGAATATTTGATTTGGATTGTTGAAAGGGGCTGCAAGAAGTTCCTGTGTCGTCTATTGGTGATTTTGTGTGTCAATATTAGTTATTTGTTGTAAAACGTACAAAATCTACGCTGTCCTCAAACCATTCTCCTGCGGTGAGAATGATGAACTAGGATGTATGACTGTAACGCGTACACTGCCAACACAAAACCTTGCGAATTTGCGTCCTGATCTGCGCTCGATCAGCAAAAATGGCCGACTCATGGCTGAGGGTGTCTCGGGAGTACCGCGCTGCGGGCATCCTGCCGTACAGCTTCGACAGCGACGGTCGGCTGCTCTTTCTGTTCCAGGCAGAGGCGAGCAAGAAAAAAGCGCACGCGCGGAATGGGCTACGGCGGAACGCGGGGCGAGGGAATGGGGCAGGAGCGGGTGGAGGAGTGGCGGAGCACGTAGGACGGGACGAGAACGGGGAACGGGGCGAGCAGGGGCACGAGGGGCAAGAGTGTGCGCGGCAAGAGCGCGAGGAGGCGGAACGTCGTAGTGGTGGCGGCGCAGAGGACACGAGGGGCGCTGCGCACAACGTTGCTTGCGCTGATGACGGCGATGGCGGCGCGGAAGGAGACGGCGCGGAAGGAGACGGCGCGAGAATTGGCGATGAGGAAGCTGGTCGCTTGATCTGCGCGGATGCTCAGTGCGCGGAGGGGAGCTCGGGCGCGGACGCCCGTTGCACGGAGGCGAGCTCGGGCGCGGGAGGCGGGGGGAGCGCGCAAGGATGTTCGAGTGCCCCGGGCGACGGGGAAGCGGACGAGACGAGCGGCGCGTGGAAGGAGGGCGGAAGCGGTCGCGAGGGGAAGGATGAGAGGAAGCGAAGCGGGGTTGCGGTAGTGGAGTGCGGAGATGCCGCGCGACAGGGGGCAGAGACAGGCGGGAGAAGAGCGGATGAGGGAGAGAGGGGTGGGAGAGGAAGGGAGGGAGGAAGGAGGAATAGGAGAAGAGGGCGAGGGAAGAAGGGTGAACGCACAGAACGGAAGGGTCCATGTGTTGAGGATGGAACGCAAGGGAATGGGCGCGAGGAGAGTGATGAGCGAGAGGAGGGTGATGAGCGAGAGGAGGGTGATGAGCGAGAGGAGATTGATGAGCGAGAGGAGAGTGATGAGCGAGAGGAGGGTGATGAGCGAGAGGAGAGTGATGAGCGAGAGGAGGGTGATGAGCGAGAGGAGGGTGATGAGCGAGAGGAGGGTGATGAGCGAGAGGAGGGTGATGAGCGAGAGGAGGGTGATGAGCGAGAGGAGAGTGATGAGCGAGAGGAGGGTGATGAGCGAGAGGAGGGTGATGAGCGAGAGGAGGGTGATGAGCGAGAGGAGGGTGATGAGCGAGAGCAGAGTGATGAGCGAGAGGAGGGTGATGAGCGAGAGAGCGAGCTACAGGATGGGAAGGAAAATGGTGAGCAGCAAGGGGATGGGAAGCAGAGGAAGGAGGAGCAAGGGGAGGGGCAGCAAGAGCAGGAGGAGCAAGGGGAGGGGAAGCAAGAGCAGGAGGAGCAAGGGGAGGGGAAGCAAGAGCAGGAGGAGCATGGGAAGGGGAAGCAAGAGCAGGAGGAGCATGGGAAGGGGAAGCAGGGGTTAGAGGAGCAAGGGAAGCAGGGGGTGGGGGATCAAGGGACGGGGCAGCACGAGAAGGAGCAACAAACGATGGAGGAAAGGAGGAGGAGGAAGCAGCAGGCACGTGAGCTGAAGGCGGAAATCAGGAGGCAGCAGAGGGAGAGGCAGAAGCAGCAGAAACAAGAGAGGAGGAATCGGAAGCCAGATCAGCAGAAGCAGCAGCAGCCGCAGCAGCGAGGGCGCGTGGGGCCGGTGTATCTGATGGACTTTGGCGGCAAGATAGAGGATCAAGACAACCATGCACCCACTCTCACCGCCGCCCGGTGAGCAACGCCCCTGCCCTATCCTCCCCTCTCTGCCCTGCCCCGCCGTGCCCTGCCCTGCCACGCCATGCCATGCTGTGCCCCGCCCCGTCCTGCCCTCCCTGTGACATGCGTCCCTTGTGCTCTTCTCCGCCCATCTGTCCCCTAGCCCCATGCTAAGCCTGGTGCATGCCTCGCGTCCCAACTCCATCTCATGCGCACCATCCTGTCCATACCACTACCCTGTTCTACTTTACGTGTCATAGTTTTATCCTTTCCCATGTGACTCTATGCAATGTGTGCTTATTGCGCAGGGAGTATGTGGAGGAGCTTGAGGCTGGCTGCGAGAAGCTGGAGGGCGCCATGTGGCAGAAACGCGTCGCTGATGTGGCAGCAGCTCTGGACCAATCAGAGGCGTTCTATTGCAAGGCTAGCAAGTATGTTCTCTTCCTGTGCGACGAGAGGAGTCTCAGGGATGGCAGCAAGGATGTGACATTAGGCAGTGTGACTGAAGGTGAAGTTACTCTAGATGGCGTGACTACAACTAGTGCATCTTGTCACTCCGGCACAGCTGAAGCAGCAGCAACAGCTCCAACTGCCGCTCAGCTAAGCAGCAGGTGGGTGGAGGCATCAGCTGTGGTGGATCATCTCTTAAGTAAGAGCCGGCTGCAGCCGCCTCTGCATCTGCGTCTCTATCCTTCCGGCCCTATGGGAGGCGTTCCGGCATTCGTATATCACATCTTGAGGCTTCAAGTAATCGGTGCTCCTTCTGGCATTGCCTGTCTCCCTGCATTAAGTTCGGTCGAGTTGCCATGCTCCATCGATACCTCAATCAGCTCACCATCACTGGAGAAGGCTTTACAACCAGCGCTTGCAAGCTGAAGTTAGTCCTGACTGCTCTCTCACAACCTCACTGTGAATCCTGTACTCAGTTTATGTTCAACTGCATCCGTAATCCATTCACTCCACTGAAATCAATTGGATATCATTTATAAAACAGCTTTCATGATTATAATTGTTGGATACTGGTACAGATTGAGATCCCAAATTAATAAACCACGCACTGATCGGACTTACCGTATGAGATTGTATTGTAAGGTGTAGAAGGATCTATTCGAAAAGCAGTATATCCTACGCTGCATTTAGCGAGGATGAAGGGGTTTCAGGACCAACTTGTTGTCGTCGTGCAATCAACAGCTGGCGGCCACCTGGAGACAGTCGTTACATTATCGTTTTGTGTGACGTGGCGTGTCAAATGAATCCTCTCAGGTGCACCAGCAGTTCCGCAGTGGGCCAGTGGCCCAAGGGTTTCACGTCCGGACAAATCAAGTGCGCGCATTCAGCTGCGCGAAAACATAGGCGAAAGGAGTTGATTCGTCGTCTCGTGCAGGTTCACCGTTCTCAACTTTTCTCAAGTGCTGACGGGATTCACCTCAGCCACCAATCACAGCGCCGTACGGCGAACCAAGCAGTCAAAGTGCATTTTCCTCCAATCCCTGCCGTACAGATTGCACGTCAAGTGCACGAATGCCCTTTCTCAGAGCCAGGTGAACCCTACACTTCGTTCGCCTACTGCCTACAGGCTACATCCCCCGCCCCCGACGCTCGGTCCGTACCGTACCGTGTACACACTTTGTTTGCCCTAAAGATTACCACCAAATTGCGAGAATTGAAAGGGGCGTTTTCTCTATGTTGGGCGTTCCTTACCTTACATTTCTTCAGGAGGATTTCCTTCCCGCTGGTTGTGTCTGGAGCTCGTCTCTTGACTTAGGATTTCCTCCAGCAGCGTCGCTTCTCACATGGAGGTCCTTAGCGGCTCGTTCGGCGATCCAATGAGCGGCATTCGCAACGCGGCTGAGGCCCGAGCGGAGATTGCGCGAAGAGTCGTTTCTAACTTGCGATCCGGCGCACATCCCAATCTTTTCGCAGAATCTGACGAATTTTCCGACGTAGGAGAATTCGCCGACCAGGCAAACTGGATCGACTCGGGTCGCTTCGACGAAAAGCTTCCACCGGAGGGGGTCGGCCATGCGGAATGTCCGGAGAGCGGCGCGCCGCTGAGGCGAGGCAAGTCGCTGGGAGCGCCGAAGCAGAGCTGCCACGCGGTCAGCGGCGATACGCTGTCACCCATGTCCCCGCGCCTTATTTCCGAAGCCAACGTATGGGAGGATTTCTGGCATGTTGGGAGTGTTGCCGGCGCCGGGGAAGACCTAACGCGGGTGGCGCGCGCGGGTGGCGCGCGGGAAGAGCTAGCGCGGGTGGCGCGCAAGGTCGTGGCTTCCGCCACTGCCGCTTCTCCGCGCTCTCGCCGTGATTCCCCGCCGAGCGCGGCGGAGAACTCGGCGGAGCGGGTCGAGGGCGAATCAGACCTGTACGGCGTGGATGCATCGGCCAGGACTGATAACCTTTACGGTAGGCGTGGTGATAGCGAGGAGTGTTTTATCGGGGATGAAGATTCTCCCCAGTATGTGGGAACAGGAGAGTGGAAAGCAGACGGGCCGATTTTTTCGACGGGGGAGGAGGAGAATGTGAGAAGCGGCGGTTACGGTGGCGAGGAGGGTAGTGAGAGCGGCGGAGTGGCGGAAGGCGAGGGGGATTTGTACGGTGACGAAGAGGAGGGCGCGGAGGATGCGGAGGACGCGGAGCAGAATGACGAGGCGGATATTAACGAGGATATGTATGGCGGTGGCGGCAGCGACGGGGAGGGGGGATTGAGCGCGGCGGAGCGGGAAGAGGGGGGCCTGCGCGGAGGCGAGGGGAGTGGGGCGGGGGAAGGAGTAGGCGGGGAAGAGGAGGGTGAGGGGGAGGATTTGTACGGCGAGTGCGGCGATAGTGACGCGGGCGAGGGGGAGGAGCAGGTGTGGGGGGACGACTGGGGCGGTGACGCGGGCGACGAGCGGAGATTAAATGAGGGGGATGAGGAGGAGCGCGAAGAGGGAGGGGAGGACGGGGGAGAGTTGGGCGGAGATGGGGATGCGTATGGGGGGTGGGAGGGGGAAATGCACATGCACATGCAGCAGTGCGAGTGGGAGGCAGAGGAGGGAAGGTTGTGGGAGGAGGTGGGCGAGGGAAGTGAGAGGGAGAGGGGCCAGGGGGAGCGGGAGGCGGGGGAGGAGGAGGAGGAGGAGGAGCAGGAAGGAGGGGGGGAAGCAGGGAGTGCAGGGGATGGGAGTGCGCTGGTGGTTTCACCTCCACGCTCCCTAGAGTCGTGTGCGGAGGAGACCCCCTGTTTGAGCACGCTCTATCAGCAGCTGTGCCACGTGGGAGAGCGCGCAGCAGAGGAGTACCCTGGCTCTGAGGATCTGTACGACGCCACGTCAGCACACGGCGGTGACACGGCAGAATTGGACGAGGCGGCAGCGGGCAGAGAAGGCACGGCGGCAGCAGAGGGCAGCCACAGAGTGGGGCGCCATGGCGGCCTGCCCCATCCTAGCTTGTCCCATCCTACCCTCCCGCATGCTGCCGCCCCGCCGCATGCCGCCCTGCCACATGCCGCCCTGTCGCACGCCGTCCTGCAGGGCTTCCGGCAGCGGGTGCGCCTCTCATTGGACGTGGAGGTCGATGCTGACTCATCCTACCTCGCTGATGACGTAAGCGGTGACGACTTCGACTTACCTAGCGAGGATGCTAGTAGCGAGGTGCAGGACGGCGAGGGGGGCGTGCCGGGCGGCGCAGCAGCAGTGGCTCGGTATCTGGCGGAATGCGCTCGTGATGGTGGTGATGGTGGTGATGACATGAGCGCTGGTTCTGGCTTTGATAATGGTGCTGCTGGTGCTGGTGCTGGCGGTGGTGCATGTGACATCTACGTGCATGTGCAGCGCACACAGGGGAGCGAGTGCGAGTCCGGGGAGGAGCTATTCAGCCACACGCTCAGCGGCAGCCGGGGCAGCAGCGCTGGAGAGGAGTCGCATGCTGCAGGGGTGGGTGCAGCAGGGGTGCGCATGGCGATGCATGGAGACGGGGCGAGTGGCTTGGCAGGGCCCGGTGGTGTGGCGAGTGGCACGTGGCATGTGGGGCGGAGCCCACTGGGAGGAGCAGGCCGGCAGCAGGGCGAGGCGGTGGGTGTGGGTTTCAGTGACCCAGTGCAGAGCGTGGGAGTGGGTTTCAACGACCCGGCACAGGGCGTGGGAGTGAGGCAGTATGACGGTGCTGCCTTGCGCTCCCATGGCAGTCTCAGCCCGCACAACCGTAGCCCACACGACCACAGCAGCCCTCACACGCACACCAGTCCGCACAGCAACGTTAGTCCGCATGCTTTTAGCAGCCCGCAACACATGAATAGCCCCCCCAGCAACTTCAACACGCACACCAATGTCAGCCCCCACACCAACAGCAGTAGCCCTAGCACTTTTCAAGGGCATTCGAACCGTCACGGTGTGCCAGTATCGTCCCTCTCTCCACACGCCCTGCCTTCGTTGCACGAGGGGCACGAGACAGCGCAGATAGGGCAGCATGCTTGGCAGCACAACTGGCAGCACGAACCGCAGCAGCAGTGGCAGCAGCAGCAGCAGCAGCAGCAGCAGCAGCAGTGGCAGCAGCAACAGCAGCAACAGCAGCAACAGCAGCTGCAACAGCAGCAGTGGCAGCAGCAACATGAGCAGTGGCAGCAGCAAGCAGAGATCCAGCAGCAGCAGAAGCAGGCAGCACAAGTTTCGGTGTCTCCCACATCTCGACTGGCCCGAGCACTCTCCATGCAGCCTGCTGCCTCCTCTGCTGCCTCTTCCTCTGCTGCTGCTGCGGCTGCTGCCGCTGGGGCACTGAATGGATCTGCACCACAAGCCCAGCACTTCCCCCGCAACTCCCCCACCAGCGCGTTTGCAAGCACCGGGGCAGCAGCAGCTCGTCTGGCCCGCACAACCTCAATGCAGCCTGCTGCCTCCTCGACTGCTGCTACTGCTGTTGCTGGGGCACTGAATGCCACCCCTCCACAAGCCCAGTACTTTCCCAAAAACTCTCCTACTGGTGCGTTCACACATGCTGCAATCACCGGGGCAGCAGCAGCAACTCGACTGGCCCGCACCACCTCCATGCAGCCTGCTGCCTCCTCGGCTGCTGTTGCTGCTGGGGCACTGAAAGCAGCTGCAACGCAAACTCAATACCTTCCTGGAAACTCCCCAACCGGTGCGTTCACACATGCTGGAGGCACGGGGCCAGCAGCAGCAGCTCGTCTAGCCCGCACAGCCTCCATGCAGCCTGCTGCCTCCCCCTACCCCGCTGCTGCTGCTACTGCCACCTCTCCGTATTCCACTGCTGCTGCTGCTGCTGCTGGTTCTCCCTTTTCAGCTGCTGCTATTGCAGCGGGGGCAGTGCAGGGCGGTGCAGCCCTCGGCAAGCAAGTGCCTGGCAATTCACCCACCGGGGTCTTTGCTCGTTCAGTGAGCATGGGGGCAGCAACGCAAGCGGTGCCGGCAGCAGGCAGGGGTGGGGGTCAGGCCATGCGGGGTCTGCAGGTGGAGCTGCCGAGGAATGTGGGTAAAGGTGGCGGCAGGAACGCGAGCAGCACCAAAACCACAGGTGGCACTGGCAAGAAGGCGAGCGGTAATTTGGCAGGTGCTGGTGGCGCTGGTGGTGGTGCAGAGACAGGGAGCAAGGCTGCACTGAGCAAGTCCCCCTCTCGTGCTCGCCTGGCCTCGTCCCTCTCCCCGCCCTCTCGCCGCATGAATGAGCTCCTCTCCTCCTCCACCCTGCCCCGGGTCCCGGTAAAGACACCCAAGGGTGACAAGGGGGGTGGCAGTGGGAGTGTTGAGGGTGGGAGTGGTCAGGGTGGGGGTGGCAGAGGCAAAGGTGGGGGAGGGGAAGGTGGTGGTGGGGTAGGCTACACCACAGGGAGGTTGCTGCAGGCAGAGCAACAGAGGAAACGGCAGCAGCGGCAGCAGAAGCTGCAGCAGCTGCTAGGGAAGGACAGTCCAAACAATGCCACCCGAGCCAACTCCAACAACGCTGGAGCAAGCAGCACTGCCGCCATTCCTGCCGGCAACAGCAGCAGCACTGCTGCGTACACTCGCTCTGCTTCTCTCGCTCGCAGCACCTCCAAGCTCATGCGAACAGCCTCTGCAGTGGGCGCACAGGAGAAGGCCGGGAAGAGTGGTGCCAGTGGTGCTGGTGGTGGTGAAGGGGCGGGAAGAGGAGGGGCTGCAGCAGCACTTGCCAGAAGTAGCAGCACTGTCGCTGCAGTGGCAGCAGGAGCGGCAGCAGCAGGGGTGGAGGCAGGTGCATCGAGAGCAGGGCTGCAGCGCACCAAGAGTGGTAACAAACTCAAGGCGGCAGTGGGGAAAAGCAGCGCTGCCAAGTCCCCTGTGCTGCCTGCAAGGGCGGCACAAAGGGTGTATGTCGGCAAGTAGAGGGAATGCCATGCCACCACCAGGTGTAGCTATTCTGTTGAATGGACAAACCCCATGTGACCTGCATACCCAGCAATGCTAGAAAAGTAAATCAAATTTAATTAATAAAACCACTATATTCCACATAAGGTAGCATATCTATCATAATGCATTCGAGTCCTCTACGCAAGGACCTGATGCTAGTACCGTACCACTGCCCACAACAAATCAAATGGAAAGATCTCGTATGTGCCCAATGCAGTCCGCCCAATGCAGTCCGCCCAATGCTGTCCACACAGTACCATGCGCACAGTGCTGTGTGCCCAGTGCCCACTGAACAAAGTGCCTGCACACTGCTCCCTGCCTAGTGCCCGCCCCAGCTTGCAAAGAATCCTCTCAAGTGGCCCTTCTTTCCCTGCCCTGCCCCTGCCACTGCCACTGCACCCATCTCCCCTGCTGCCCCACCTGTCCCTGCTAGTGCGCCTCCTGCTGTTACCGCCACACCATGTGGTGCAGGCAACCCCTCTGTAGGCCCACCCAGCTCCACCACACGCACCGCATTCCTAGCAGCCTGCGCCTTCACCCGCCTCTCCACACTCATACTCCTCTCAGGCACTCCCCCTCCCCTCCCCCCACCACCATCCCCACCGCCCGCCCCCATGCCCTGCCCTGCCTTCATCCCGATCCGCCCCCCAGCCCGCACCTGCTGCGCTGCTCCGGATGCCGGGCCTAAGCTGCAGCTTCGGAGAGGCGGGCCGACGTTGATGGGTTTGGGGGGGGAGCGGGGGCTATCGGCAGAGCACCAGGGGATGTCGAGCATGGGCAGGGAGGGAAAGTCCCTCCTAGCAGGGGGAGCGCCTACAGGAGTCTGGATTTCGGTGGGAGACAGGGGCTCTACAGGGTACAGATCAATTATACCGTTCGGGAGGTAGGGCGGCGTGGGCGAGGGCGCTTTAGCTGACATGGACCGTGGCATTGCGGTTCGGCTGCTGCTGCTGGTGGAAGGTGATCCGTTATTGGCAGATCCGTTACTGGGATTGAGACGTCCGGACTGTGCGCGGCGGAGGGCTTTCATTTGAAGTTTCCCTGGTCCGGGCTGGCGATAGGCGTATTCCGGCTGCCCGTTCATCTGCCCGTGGATATACCCCTGCCCATGGCTGGGACCGTGCTGCTGCTGGTAACCACCTTGTGGGATTCGCTCCAGCTCTTCGTCTGGAACGCTCATGCTTCGTGCAATCACAGATGGACGAACGTTCTGCCTCACTGGCTGTGCGCATTGCTGGTTACCAGGCTGGTTACAAGGCTGATTACCACTAGGCCGCGGCGCGTTACACCCCCCTGCAGCACCAGCAGCACCACGAGGGGCAATCCCCGGCCCTCCCTGCTTGCACCTGTCTAGATCCATCGAACCGCTTCCCATAATAGCGCGATCCCCGCTGATGCACTTGCGCATTGACCGCGCCTGGTTGGAAGCCAGCCGCCCACCTGCAGCGTTCCCCGCGGGCAACCGCGCCCCGCAATTCCCGCCGCCAGTACCGGCGTACGCGGCGTTGCTACCATGCATTAGCTCCGCGGGCTCGTCGCCGACAGAAGCGCCGGCGATCGCGGCGGCTGCGTGGTCTAAAGACGCCGCGGAAAGACTAATGGAGCGATTCTTCGTGGGGACGACGGCGGCGGAAGCGTAGCGCTTGTGTTGCGGAGGCGGGGGTGCGTTGATGCGCTGTTGGCGGTGCTGGTGGTGATGCTGCTGCTCGTGCTCCGCGGCGTAGTGTCCCGCTGGCGCTCTCTGCGAATAGTCCACTGACGCAGCGGACGCCCGTGTCCTGCTGCGGGTCACATACGTATCTGCGTACTCGTTACTAGGCTCCCCGTTTCGGTTGGGTTCTCGGTACTCTCGAAGTTCGGACCGGCCAGCGGACTGCGATCGACGGTAACTGTTTGGCGGAACGCGCAATTGCTGCTGCTGCTGCGGCTGCTGCTCATATTGCTGCTGCTGGTGCGGGTGATGCCTTTCGGGGTGGGAAGCTGCGTGCGACGGCTGCTGCTGAGTCGCCGGCTGCTTCAGCGGACTAAGCCGCTCCCTCGCTCCCTCGTTACGACGTGAACTATGATCCCTTTCCCGTTCCCTCTCTCGCTCGTACCCGCCGCGTCTGGGACTATTCCGCTGCTGCTGCCTCGCGCTGTCGCCGCTCCTGCTCGCATCCCCCTTCCTCAACGGCCTACCCTGCGACCGGTTCCGCGACTGTTTCCTGCACGAATCCGGCGACGGGCTTGACCGATTTGACCGGCTTGACCGGCTGGACCGGCTCGTCCTGGACGCGTTGTCGTCGGAACCGCTCCACGATTTTGCGTCACGCGGAGACTGCGTTGACTCTGGGGAACTCAACGACTGCCTTGACTCCGGCGAACGCGGCGACCGCGTAGATTCGGGAGAGCGCGGCGACCGCGTTGAGTCAGGGGAACGCGGCGACCGCGAGCCTGAGCGACGGCGCGAGCTGCCGTTCGAGTCGCACCTTGTGTGGCGTCTGTCGCTGCTTCGAGGCGACGAGCGATTGCTGCTGCCGTCATTGTCGCTGCCGTCAACATCGCTGCCGTCATTGTCGCTGGCATCACTGGCTTCTTCGTTCTCGCTAAAGTCGTCGTCAGTACAGCTATCAGTAGGCTCGTCCTTACTCTCGTACTCAGTACTATCTTCGTCAAGGCACTTCTCGCTTGGCCGTCGGTCATGGCGGTTCGCTCTGTCTACACCGTCCCTTCCACTGCCTGCTGCTACCTTCTCCCGACCGTTGCCGCTACTGCTAGCGCCTCTGCCGCCGGCTCTCCCGCCACCTCTACCGGGAGCTCTACTCGTCCGGCTGTGCTCATCCTCCGAGTAGCTGTCAGCTGACACGTCATCATGACGACCCACGGGAGATTCAGCGCACTCCTTGCCCGTTCTGGCACGCTCGCGGCGCGTGCCAGATGTTCCGCGCGTTTGTGTGGAAGACTGACGTGGCGCACCTGTTGCGTAGCCCATAAAGACACTCTTTTTGGTTCCAGCACGCTTTCCGCTCTAAGCGGTTACAATTATAAAGACGCGGGCAAGCCGATGAACGTGTGTCAGTTAGGAGGCGAGCGAGAACACAGGGAATCTGAAGGAGGCATAGATTGGAGAAGAGGATGTGGAGTAGGTCCATGTCTGACGTAAATTGCACACACTCCAAGGCTTGCTTGCTTTTGCTCGAGCGGAGGGGAATGGTGGCTGCAGGGGAAGGCTGGCTTGCTTGGCTCTGCACTGCACTGCACCACCACGCGGGGTGACATGACCTGGAAGTTGTTGGCACAACAAGGGGAAGGGGACAAGGAGCCACCACCACCAGCTGGTGCGGGCAGCACCCTCAGTGGTAGTACCGAAGGAGGTGAGCCCAAAACCGAGCCAGCTTAGCTCAAACCATACCATACCTTTTCCGGCCTCTCAACTCGAACCAGGCCAAAATTGGCCAAACCAGAACCTTTTCACTCGAACCAGACCAAAACTGTCCCAGGCCAGGGCCTCACGACAGTAATTGGTCTAGGGAAGCCACGTCACACGATTCTCTCGAAATGTCATTCGCTGTCGATTCATGTTATTGTCAGCCACAATACGTGAACCCCAGGTTGGTGAACAGTAGAACCGTGTAACAGACCAATTCGCCAGCGACACGCTATGTCCGCTACCCCTTCAATCGTTTTCGCTAAACATTTCGCAAAACTGTCACAGGCATCTCTTCGCTTGGATCTGACAGAAGCCAAGTCCTTCCCAAGATACTCAGACCCAGCAGCAAGATCTATCCAACCCCAACTGCTTCACACCCAAGTTCCTTCCAACGGCTAGGGTAGGTTCTCCTCAATTGGCTTGCTGACTGACATGAAACTCACACGAGCCGCTGTGTCTCAATTCGAATTGTCGGTTCGCCGTTCCCGCCGGTCGACAACGTCCACTCGATCAATCTGATCCCTAGATCTGTTTCGTAAGAAAACCATCCAACGATCTAGCTCATTCAGTCCCTTTTTTGTGCTGCCAACGGCCATCCCTCCCGAAACCGAACCTCAATGTCCGAACCCTTTCGGAGCCGCGCGGCCTAAAACAAGGAGGACCTTTCCTTTTTGTCCTTTTTTTCGGTAGCCGTGTAGCGAACCAAGAGTTGAGCCCCCCACACCCCAGTCCCCCTCACTCACTCGGGGTTGGCTGTGGAATGCCAATCTCGCGAGGCATTTTCGACAGAGGACAATCCAACCAGGGATTTTTCGAAGCGACATTTCGACCAGGGGTTTCTCAGAGCGACATTTCCACCAGTCAGTTTAGACATTCGCACGTTCGTTTGAACATTGCGCTCGAACCTCTTCGACTCAAACTTAGTCGTAGATGAAGCACTTCGACCGGTCAACTGTCGCAGCTCGTTCACACACGCAATTAGCGACAAGCCTCACGCGCGTAAGGAGGATTGGCTCGTGGACTCGCTGCTGGTTGCGGAGCTTCGATGTGCTCTGACACAGGTAATTTCTTATTCTGCTTCATTTCAGCTCGCCGTTTCTGTCTATTTATGTCGTTTTAGCCAGTTTCTGACGTGCGTATTCCTCTTCTGCAGGCATTGGAGCATCGTCAGTCCGCTATCAATCTCTACTGTAGCTGGCCTACTTCGAACCTCAAATAGCATCGTCGTTGCAACGCCGAAACTGCACAGTACCACAACGTGCTCTCGCGGAAAAGGTAATGGCTTTGATGTTTTAGCCACCTTTTGTTGCATATTTCGATAGGATTTCTGATTCGACGTTATTTCAATGTGTTTACAGGCAGTTGAGCATCCGAAAACCTGTCAGCGTCCGCCATCCAACGTCGACTTCCGCTGACTAATCTGCGTCGTCCGCGGAAATCGCGACGGGTTCAAGCGCACCAGCCACTGCGAGGTCGCGATTCCGCTCGTGGTTCAAGGTACAATCGAGAACTCACAATGGCTTTCCTTTTTTACGCGCGTTAATTATAAATAAAACACGTTTCAAGT